ACAAAGAAACAGCAAGTGATACATTAAATTAAACATAATATGCTGACGTAGAAAGACTGAATGGTATTTTCATGTGAAACCTACTCCAATAATCTTTTTTGGTTTTTACAGTGTAGCTATTGATTATTTCACAAACTAGAATTTACGTAGAATTTGCATTTTTGTTTATGAATATCCAGTTTCAATCACTTGCAACTGCCTCAAAACTGGTCTTGCCAGTGACTAAACTCTGAATACCTGTCAAACCTTCAGCTCCCGTGATCCTCGACCCCAACACCGCAGACGTCTGCGTGGCTCTGTCCGACGACCTCACCACCATCCGCTACACGGAGGAAGAGCAGCAGGTCCCGGACAACCCCGAGCGCTTCTGCTTCTACGACTGCGCCCTGGGCTCCGAGGGCTTGGGCTCCGGGCGGCACAGCTGGGACGTGGAGGTGGGCGACTGCAGCGAGTGGGCGCTGGGGGTGGTGAAAGAACGCGTGCAGCGTAAAGAGTGGTTCCCGCCGAGCCCCGAGCGCGGCATGTGGACCATCTGCCTGTACGGAGGAGAGTACCGCGCGCGGACGCCCACCAGCGCTCCTCTGACACTCAAGAAGAAGCCTCAGAAGATTCGGGTTCAGCTCGACTGGGAGGCCGGCAGAGTCATGTTCTCGGACGCCGGAGACAACTCTCTGCTCTACAAGTATAAGCACAAGTTTACGGAAAAAGTGTTTCCGTATTTCTCCAACACATGTAAAAGACATCCGCTGCATATTTTAGCGGAGAAGGTGTCTGTGTACACGGAGTAACTCAACAGACATTTCATTATCGACACTTTTCTGAGCCGGAAGGACTGAGGTAGTACAAGAATGACTTAAAGGGATAGTTCACCCAAAAATGACAATTCTGACATCATTTACTCACCCTCAAGTTGTTCCAAACCTGTACGAATTTCTTATGCTGAACACAAAAGAAGATGTTTTGAAGCATGTGGGGAACCAAACAGTTGACAATAGCTTCTTTCTTTTTTTCAGGTAACAATTTTCATTTTTTGGTGAACTATCCTTATAACAAGCATAGGCTACACTACCGTTTTTTAAGGAAATCAATATTTTTTTTTATTCAGCAAGGATGCATTAAATTGATCCGAAGTAGCAGTATGTTTAGTGTAAATTATTTTCTTTTGAGCTTATCAAAGAAATCTGAAAAAAAGAAAGTTTTCACAAAAATATTATTCAGCAGAAGTTTTCAACATTGATAATAAAAAATGTTTCTTGAGCAGTAAATCAGCATATTAGATTGATTTCTGATACATAGATTGATTTCTTATTTTAAATTGTTATAATATTTTAAAATATTAGCGCTGTTTTTGCAGATTAGTTTCTATAAATTGTGTTTTTGGGGGGTTTTGAGTTTATAGTGTGTGCATAGTTTTTATTTACTTTTTAATAATGTGATTTTTCATTATATGAAAGTCACTTTGTCTTAAAGTAGGCTACTATTCTGACATTTGGGAAATATATTTTTTTATGCTTTTGTGAAGTCTCTAAGCATAAGACTTTACAAAAACTTTTCAAGGCTGCATTTATTTGATCAAAACACAGTAAAACAGTAATATTGCAAAATGTTACTACAATTTAAATAACTTTTTTTTGTAATTTCTATGCATTTATTCCTGTGATCAAAGCTGAAATTTCGTTCAGAAATCCTCCTAATATGATGATTTGCTGCTCAAGAAGCATTTATCACCAGTGTTGAAAACAGTTGTGCTGCTTGATATTTTTGTGGAAACCGTGATACATTTTTTTCAGGATATAAAGTTAAAGCATTTCTATGAAATAGGAATCAGTTGTAACATTATAAATGCCATTATTATTGTCACTTTTGATCAATTTAATGCATCTTTGCTGAATAAAAGTATTCATTTCTTTCCAAAAAAAATTACTGACCCTATACTTTTGAATGGTAGTGCATCTGATAAATGACTAATTAGTACAAGGTGACAAGAAGTTCTACAAGAAGCTCCCAATGTGACGTGGAGTTTGAGCATCTAATGCTTGTTGTTGATGTGGTCTTTGTGCTGAAGCTCTGTGAACTCTGAGTGAATAAAGCACCGATGACACCTCCAGCTGTCCAGCCCCATCAACCCCAGACCATGACACGTTTCTGGAGAAAGCAGACACTCGCTCCCCTCGCCCGAGCACGCAGAAGTCTCTTTACCTTTTCCTGTGATCATGACTTTGCAAACTCGAGACGCATGCACAGAGAACCTTAGATTACAACATCAAGTATATTACCATCTGTAACATCTTACAACAGAAACTTAAGCTTTAATAGTATGTAAACCAGATTCTGTTCAGAATATTAGCTTGCTGCTTACTTAATATTGTGCACTAGAAATAGGCTACTTTTTAAAATAGTGGGTAAAACAATCATTTTGCAACAAAGTTTTCAAACATTGTATGTTGCATTTTCATGATTATAACTTTGCATGTTTTCTTGTTTTGCATTTTGAATTCAATTAAAGAATCTGTAATGACATCATTCATCACACTGCTAATGGAAGGTCAAGCGCAAAAGATTGGAAAACTACTGTATGCACATTGCACAATACTAATATGCAGGTACTTCTGGAATTAAAAAAAAAAAAATGACCTGTGGTTATTAGGAAAACATTAGAATTTTGGCAAACAAAGCTGGCTTTTAATAACTATTGCACTGTTGTAGTCAAAGTAAATACTACTACTACTAAATTGTATTATTACTTTAAAAGATGTTAACATAAATTATCATGACCACCCCTTGTGGTCACACAATAATCATGACAATAGAGACTTTTCACATACTGTAATGCATTTACCTATATTCATTTTTCAAATGCTTGTATCAAAAAAAAAAAAAAAAAATCAAATTTCTGCAATAATTAACGTCAAAGTTTTTATATTTTAATTTTAAATTTGTAAAATTATTTTTGTTATTCAAATGTATTAACATTTATAACTATACATGGTGTGTTAAAAAAAAACTAGTAAAAGCTGCTGCAATGTGCGCTATAATTTCCAATTTCATTATTCTAACTGCCATGATCATATTTTTTTTTCTCTTCTTCATTTGGAAAGTCATGGAAATTCAAGTTTTTAAAAAAAATAAATAATAAAAAATATACATAAAAATGACATGAAGATCTTAATAACAATAAAACTACAAACACATTGTGAAATGGTCACAAAATTGCAATTTTTCTTTAAACTTTTTTATTTTTTATTGATGACATGCAAACCATGCACAAAAATGAAAAACAAAAAATATATTTACAGAATGAACACAAGAAGGTAGAAAAGACAATCCACCGATCACTTTCAGCTTCACTGACCTTCAACTCTGAAATATCTCACGAAAATTACATTACATCTAATATGGAGATTTCCAGCAAATACCGGTTAAGACTACAAAAAGACTGTTGGTAATTAAATGCATTACAGGAATATAAACCTCAAAAGAATTAAAAACGTTCATCTGGGTTCAAAAAGTGACTGTTCCTCACAGTAACACATTGGCATGTGTTGATCTATAGATTGAGAGCACCAAACGTTGTCTTAGAAACATATAAAAAATGCATCGCTGATTGCTGTATCTGCGTGATGAGTCTTAGCTTTCAAAACTAAACTGTAAATCATGAATGCAGTTAGATGCAGAAGTCTACAATCCATTTTTTTTTTTGCTCTAGTCTCAGATACAACATGGACAAATCTAACAATAACGGTTTCTTTTTTTAATATCTTAGCACTAAGACCATCAGTAGGTAGTTCTTGATTTTTCTTTAAAGCACATTGACAGAACACAATCTCTTAAAGATGAAGTGTCATTTTTGCATCACTACTGGTGCAGAAAACTGTGAAAACCCATTTCCACCATTGAATAAAAGGTACTTCTCGCAATTCTGAGAAAAAAAATCTGAATTCTAAGTTTATATGTCATAATTCTGAGTTTATATCTCATAATTCAGATTTCCCCATCAGAATTCCAAGATTACATCTCACAATTCAGATTTTATTTCTCAGAATTCTGTTTTATTCTCAGAATTCCAAGTTTACATCTCACAGTTCTGAATTTATATCTCATAATTCATTTTTTTTTCAGAATTCCCAATTGACATTTCACAATTCTGATTTTATATCTCATAATTACATTTTTCGCAGAATTCCAAACTGACATTTCACAATTCTGAGTTTATATCTCATAATTAAATTTTTTCCCTCAGAATACCAAACTGACATTTCACAAATCTGAGTTTATATCTCATAATTAAATTTTTCACAGAATTCCAAATTGACATTTCACAATTCTGAGTTTATATCTCATAATTAAATTTTTCGCAGAATTCCAAATGACATTTCTCAATTCTGAGTTTATATCTCATAATTCAATTTTTCGCAGAATTCCAAACTGACATTTCACAATTCTGAGTTTATATCTCATAATTAAATTTTTCCGCAGAATTCCAAACTTACATTTCACAATTCTGAGTTTATATCTCATAATTCAATTTTTCCGCAGAATTCCAAACTTACATTTCACAATTCTGAGTTTATATCTCATAATTACATTTTTCGCAGAATACCAAACTGACATTTCACAATTCTGGGTTTATATCTCATAATTCAATTTTTCGCAGAATTCCAAACTGACATTTCACAATTCTGAGTTTATATCTCATAATTCAATTTTTCCCCTCAGAATTCTACGTTGACATCTCAAAATTCTGAGTTTATACCTCCTAATTCATTAGTTATCTAATATAGTATTCTTAGTATATCTATATACTGTATAGTATATCTATAATCCCCAGGATTCCACGTTTACATCTTACAATTGTATTATTTTTTTTTCAATTTTAAGTTTATATCTTGCGATTTTGATTTAGTTTTCGCAGTTAAATTTTTGCAAGTAAAAAGTCAGAACTGTAACATATAAACTAATAATTGAGAGAAAAAAAGTCAAAATTGTGAGGAAAAAAGTTGCAATTACCTTTTTAAATTTTTTTTTTGTGTGTGTGACATAAACAGGCTTCCACAGAAAACACACTTCGTCTCATCTCGTCTGAATCTACATGTCGCAGGAGGAAAGCACTGGTTGAAAGGCAGTACTAGAATGAGTTCAGTAGTTCATTCAGTAGTTCACAAACACAACAATCACTAGCCGTCTTTACGCCATCAATGCTACGCTAAAGCAGAATGGATTCTGGGTGACTCTGATAAAAGAGCATGCTACATTATGAGTGAGTCTGACCAGAGGAGAGGCAGATTATATAGTGAATATGAATTCATGGAAAGCTATAGTGAGTTGCTGCATAGCCTATTGGGTTGGCAGAGTGTATGGGTTTATTGGGATTAATATTTGCATGATTCAGGTAATATAAAACTGGAAGCCGGAGAAGGCGAAATGGCTGCTGTTGGATCCCCTGGTGGACGAGGTTCATGAGAGGGATGTGATATTGGAACGGCCTCCAGGTGGCGCTACGATCCTCTGTGTCGTACGCCTGGCGATGTGGTCGTCCATTTGAGTGCCTTTGAGTTAAAAAAAATAACATTAAAAAAAGGTTGAAACTTTAGTTTGGATACACAGTGCTCACTGTAATGAAAGCACGTCTGCATGAGCTCCAAATGACGTCTACTTGATTTAGGTCACAGAGAAAGAGACTCAGATTACACATAGCACTACTTTTCAGCAGCATTGTTCTGGATGTACTTTACTCATTCTTTTTCTCCATAAAGAGTTCAAAGCCATGAACCAAACCAACAAGGTCAAAGATCAAATGTGCTGTGGATGATGTAATTGAATCAAAAATTATTGTACAATAAAACAATTGACTATTACATTTGATGTATTACAACATATTTTAAGTGCATTGGCCATTGAGAGCTTTCAAAGTGATTTGCATTTTCAAAGCCATTTTTTATGAAACCTAATTTTTTTTTCCATGATCACAACAAGAGATTCTCATGATTAAAATGACATTTTCTTATGATCTCATCATAATTTTTAAATATATTTTTGTATTGTGATTTAAGTACCAGTCCCATTCACAAGGTGCTTAATTTCAAATACTTAAACATAGCATGTTTATATAGCAAATTAAATAGTTAAAAGTAAACATTGTTAATTATATAAATATACTGATCAAACGTTTGAGGTTGGCAAAAAAATTTTTATGTTTTTGAAAGAAGTCTTTTACGCTAATCAAGGCTGCATTGATTTGATCAAAAATACAGTAACAACAGTAATATCGTGAAATAATTAATTTTACTTTTTATTATATTTTAATATTTCACATAATCCTTCACAAGTTCGAAAATGTTGCTTCAGTGATCAAGAAATATTATAAAGATCTTAAAGTATTAAAGGTGGGGTAAGCGATTTCTGGTAGCCAATGTTGACATTTGAAATCACCAAAACAAACACGCCCCTACCCCAAAAGGGTCTATTTTGATAGCTCCGCCCACATACGAAACAAAGCAAAACCAATGTTACACCGTGTCTACACCGGACGCGAGTGGCGCGGCAC